TGTACAAGATCCATATTCCTTGGATCTTTTGAGTATTGTTGAGGAAACTCAATGAAGATGTCATTAATCATCATTAAAGCATTGTCTGAATCGGATTGGGAACACTATCTTTCTATGGATGTAGAGATTCTTGGAGATTCAGGGGAAGCAATTTCTGATCTGAGACAATTATTCGCCCTTGCTGAAAAGTTTGGTTATTCGGAGTGGATTCAGTTTGATGCATCTGTTGTTCGAGGGCTTGCCTACTACACTGGTATCGTATTTGAGGTGAAGACTATTCATGATACCTTTTAACATGATATGAGGAAAGAGAAAATTTATTGGGGAGAATTGTAGTTTCACATGCCTGTTCCATTGCGGTCTATGATTTTCTCCTCATGATGTTTTAAAGGTCAATCCGTACTTGCCTTGTGGCATTTATGCATGGATGTACTATCGCCAGCATATCCATGTTAGGAAATGCACTGTTCTAAGGTTAGCTATATGAATTCCTTAGGTGCTGCTATTGCAAATGCTGCTCGTTTTTTGCATATATGGGCAGATCATGTGAAACTTACCTTGGAGAAAAACAAGGCAGATGTGCAGTTTGTGTGCAGATATTTATGTACCTGTGGTTAATATGCACATAAAGTATGTTCACAGAATTCCTCATTCCTTGCCAAATAAATGACCACTTTGATGTTACTAATCAGGTCTCTTTCATTTTTAAAACGGACAATCTTTCCTAGGGTTTCGATCGAGAAGGAAAGTTGCGAGCCATATGCGGCGGCGGGCGATATGACAAATTACTCTCTACTTTTGGTGGTGATGATCTTCCAGCTTGTGGCTTTGGATTTGGTGACGCGGTCATAGTGGAAGTATGTTCTGGATATTTTTGAAACTTTCATCGATAGTGCACTCATGGAAGCATAATCCATTGGTCATCAGAGAGGATTATTTTCTTAGTGAATTTTCCTGTCAATAACAAGGCTTGGTGACTGGTGGTTCTATTTTTAGCTTTGCGAAGTTAGTAATCCGGTTGTTTACCATCTTCCAGCTTTATGCAGCATGTATTCTAGTCGTGGGGATTCATTTATCCGTTCCATAATTATCTAGCTTTCTCTCAGTCAATATAAGTTAGTTACATCAGTCAAGTTGTTTGAGCTTCGTTGTGGTGAGTCTCATGACTGGGTCAATAGGGTGTGCACGTGAATACAAATTTGTGTGCTTTGCTGATGTATACACGTAGACGTTATTATATGTGCTTTGCTGGGGTCTATATGCTTAAATGTCACATGAAAGGAAAGAAAAAGGTGCAAGAGTAGTCCACATAGGTAATCTCTGAAATGTCATTCTCCAATTTTGCGTGATTCATGAAGAGCTTCCCCTTGTTTGGCAGTTGTTAAAGGAGAAGGGTCTCCTGCCAAAGCTAGACCATCAAGTAGAGAACATAGTATGTGCCCTGGACAGTGATCTTCAAGGAGCTGCTGCTGCTGTTGCCACTAAACTCAGGGAGAAAGGTCAAAGTGTTGACTTGGTTTTGGAGGGCAAACCCCTTAAATGGTATGTAATTTGCAGTTTTCTACCAAATTAACAAGTTTGGTTTGTTGCCTCTGATTACTCCTTGTGTCGGTGAAGGGTGTTCAAGCGGGCAGCTCGAATAAATGCGCAGAGGTTGATATTGTTGGGGCTTGCCGAGTGGCAAAAGGGTATGGTTAGTGTGAAAATACTCTCATCCGGTGAGCAATATGAAGTCAAGTTAGTTGAGCTGGAGTAAACATTAACCTGATTACATGTCCAGGGTTCTTTGTAGCCATTCAGTTGTAGGTTTCAACCTTCGTCCATTTATTTATCCCCCTGAAATTTTTATTCTTTGTAAACTTACGATAGTTTAGAACAGAGATGGCTAGTCAATTTTGCAGTGTATTATTTTGTGTTTCAATCACCATTTTGAGGCACATACTAATCATATATTCTCTGTCGGTTGCTTTCAGCCAGATAAATAAGAACATATTCTTGCTGGAATTAGGTTTTAGGGCTGTCCATGATTCTTTAAGTCCAAAAAATTTGAACTTTCTGAGCCTGCTTGATTCTATCAGTGTTGATCTTAATCATTCATTGGGCTTGCGGCGGAGTAATAGGAAGTGCTGACGTACCACAACATTCCGATTCGACATTTTTACGTTTGTTGCCGTGATATTGTCCTTGTATCGATATTCGATTTCTATTCTGTTTTACAGCCTTTTATGATCAGCTAGAACATCATTGCTCAAATCGATCTTTGCTCTTCTATATAAATTCCCCATCCTTTCGTGTTTTGCAGTATATAAAACACCTCCCTTTTTATATTTGTCGCAATCGGCATCTTATTTAGTCCTTAGTAAAAGAGTTTGATGATACAAATGACAAGCGCATAATGTCATCTTCAATACAGGTAGAACGAAAGCACCATGAGGATAGCTTAGCTCTCACGCTGACTAGTCAGGCTAACTAGTCAGGAAAACGTATATAATCTAGATTGGAATTATCTCTTTGTAATCTTTAGGATCCATCACTTCCCAATTTTTCAACTAATTAGGTCGTTTTCAGCCCATCAATTTGTTAGATATATCATTATTTTCTAGTACACAAGAAGTACAGAAAGATATGTGCGAAATGTAGTTTGTAGTCATCCCCTTCTGTAGTTCCCATTTGGTCATGTTCATATTGCAACTGGACGTTTTAAATTGTTCGTTTCTTCTCCCTGACACGCTTGGTACCATTTTCAATCGTTCGTTTCTTCGCCGTCTTAAATTCTCTATGACTCTTTCTTTTCTTTTCTTTTCTTTTTGGTCCGCTGCTTGTCAACTTGCACAGCCGAGATAGCTTAAGCATTCACATCTTTTACTTGTAAAGGAAGGTCATACAACAATTTAAAGGAGATAATTTTTCCCACATTCTGCTATTTCTTGAAAAAAAAGAGTCTGTTATCCAAACCAAATCTCACTTTGAACTGGATGTGATCTGACAAGAACGATCCAAGAACAATGTCAACTTATCATTTCTAATCCTAATTTCTTTCTCACCCTCCCCCGTCGATGTCTTGGTTGCATCAAGTCAATGCTGTTGAACACGGCGACCTCCTCCACTCGACCGCTACAGGCAAGTCATTTCCACTCAGATCCACATCCTCTCCAGCCTATTTATTTCCTCGTCTATTCTCTCCCTCTCTCTCTAAAGGGTCCCTGTCTCTCCTTCATGTGGGAGCGTCGAGCTCAATGTCGGCTACAATGGAGCTCAACACCGTGTGTCCACCGGCTCTGCACCATCAATGGCTCGTCAACAACAAGAAGAGAGAGAGAGGGGGGGGAGAGCTGCAGAGGGATGATTAGCAACGGAGGTGTGACGAGGCAGTGGCAAGGGTTGGAGAAAGAAGAGAGAGAGGATTGTACATGCCTTTCCTCAAGTGCTCGTAGATCCACAATCTATCCAAACCTTATCATAGTCAACGTGCATATATTCCTTCTATTACAACCTCTTAATCACACAGAGTGAACATAATGTTGTAATAAAATAAAAATTACGGAGTCATCTAAACCGTTGATCATTTAGGCTGCATGATGAGTCCGCATAATTAATGGTTCAGATGATATTAAATCACATAATATATAGACAAAACACTACCTACTCATTAGGACTTTCCCATTTCTGTTAACCACTTGACAACTTTTTCATTTTCCTTCTCTTCTGCTCATTGAAACAAAAGGACCGATCCGACCACGCCTCATGAATGTCACAGCAGAAGAGGTCGAATACAGTAAAAGAAAGAGCATCGCTTTCTTTAGCAGCTTTACATCGTGGGTCCTCAAAAACTCCTGGATCGCACCCGCAAAGAGAAAATGCTACTTTTTTCCCTACCATAAATCACATAATCTCAGAGAGTAGCCTGAAAAAGAAAATGTTACGAGGATCGTAATCGATCACGTGCTTCAGACGTTCTTCGTCTCTACTGCTGTTTTTCGTATGATGCCACATTCAATCAAGACAAGACTCCCGTTGCAGTCAGTAATTGGATGCTGCGTATCATCCCCACAAAAGGGATAAAAGCAAACCAAAATAAAGTAAAGATGGTCTCAGAATTTCTTCTCTCGACTCGAATCCACCGGACCAAATGACTCCCAATCATTGATTTTGTTGGCCGCATAAGCGAGTCCCACAAAATCTACGGTTGCAATGCATTTGGTCCATTGGATTCAAGTCCAGGCAAAAATTTCCGCTGATGGACCCGGGTTCGGGCAAAAATTTTGGCTTGCCGTAACCTCATAATTCCCAGCTCAGGAAGCCAAATGAAATGTAAAGGAAAAGAAGAAGCGAGCGCGAAAACAAAAGGGACCACAACCAATACCATCATCTTCTTCTGTCATTTTCTCTTCCTTCTTTTCTCCCATCTCTCTCACGCTTTGTCCACCACAGGCTAACACAAAGTACTGGCTGTGTTGTGTAGTGTGCATGGACGCTCTCTTCGAGTGAGCCCTTCCTTGTCCACATTCCTTTGTCGTTCACTCTCGCTTTCAGTGTCGCCATCTTGTCTTTAGGACTCCGCGGATACGCATGTGCAACCACCTCCATTATTCTGCTCCCCACGAGGCCCCCATCATTCGTGTTCGCCGTGCGTAATTGCATGCCGAGCGATCCGGTTCAGATAGGAATCCGGAACTTACACCTGACTTTGATCTTGTATATGTGCGGACCGCGACGTGCTTGTGTCATTCTGTTCACAGGAAAGATTACGCTGCCAAATTTATTGATCGTCCCGACTCGGGATGATGCGATTCTACACTTCGACAGGCCAAAGGGTACCGCCTTTAACGATCAAACTAGCAAGGTCATGCTGGAAATCAGAAAAAAAAATTGCGACTTCCCGTTCTCAATTATCTTATTGCGTCCATTGACTTCCTTCTTGTTATGCAAACTGCGAGTGTGGTTCCTTTTGACCTGAACGAAGATCGAAGAAGCTCACACATGGTCATTTATAGAGAGCATTTTTCAGATATTGGTGAGAACATATATAGCTAAGAACAATTAGATAATGATACACATCACTATACTATACGAGATCAACCCCAAAAAACCAAAAAGAGTTCCAAAAACATATGATGGGGTATAAAGAAATTCCCCTTGGGTATCAAAACTCATCAGCCCTCTCTTTCCCCATCTTCCTTCGGCCTCGAAGAGCTTGAGCCTGACGTCATTCCGATCACCTCGCTGTGAGTGAATCTCTGTAGCTGTATCATCCTTGCATAGCACCCATCTGGATAGTTTTTCAGTAGATGCGAATGCGAACCTTGCTCTGCCACTTTCCCATCATCGATCAACGCAATGACATGGGCATTCCTGATGGTCGATAGTCGGTGGGCCACCACGATGGTTGTCTTCCCAGCACAAGCACGGTCCAATGCCTCCTGTACAGATCTCTCCGACTCGGCATCTAGCGCGCTGGTCGCCTCATCGAGCAGCATTATGTCTGCTTTTCTCACGAGCGCTCGAGCAACGGCTATCCTCTGCTTCTCTCCTCCAGAGAGTTGAATTCCTCTCTCACCGACAAATGTCTTGTATCCTTCAGGAAGCGCTGATATGAACTTGTGGGCATTGGCTAGGGTCGCAGCCTCCACAATCTCGGCCTCATTGGCCGATTCATGCCCATATGCAATGTTCTCGTAAATGGTGGTAGCGAAAAGGCATGGCTCCTGAGGAACCATCGCAATGTGTCGCCGTAGGGACTTGAGATTGTACTTCCTAATGTCCTTGCCGTCAATCATGACCCGCCCGGAGCTTGGCTCGTAGAACCTCTGGATCAGTGCAATGACCGAGCTCTTGCCACATCCACTGGGGCCTACAAGCGCAAGGGTCTTTCCTGCACGGGCTCGGAAAGTCAAATCACGGAAGATCGGCACATCAGCACGGGATGGATAAGAGAAATCCACATGCTTGAACTCGACTTCCCCACGGAGGCGATCAGGGACTGGAGTAGCATCTGGATCATCAGGGTCAATCTCAGTTTTCCGGTCAAGCAGTTCAAATACCGATCTCATGGCTCGACCGCCCTTGATGAAGTCAGGAGCAAGAGTTAATGTTTCTGCCGCTCCATTGGCAGAGACCATGAGAACCATGAAGACACGTATCGTCTTGGAAAAATCAGAGATCCCATGCTTCACAAGCCATGAAGCATACCAAAGGCCAAGAGCATATGAAGCATAGAGTGCAAACTGGGCCACCCCATATCCACTTCCAGCGATCTGTCCCTTCCAGAAACAGCGCCGAAGCGGAGTTTGAAGGTTGAAGGAGAAAAGACCCACAATTTGCGCTTCAGAATTGAAGGCCGCAACTGTCCTTACATTGGCTATTGCTTCGCCAGCTAGTTGTGTGGCCTTAGCATGGGAAGCTTCAAGGTCTCCCGAAAAGCCAGTCATGAACATTTTCTGTCAAAAGTGAAGAAACAGGAATAAATAAGTGGAATATTGCATAAATTAAAGGTTACTGACGCACATTCTCAGAGCTTGCACACAAGACATACCAAAATTCACTAATGACATCGATTGGGAAAACACTAACCTGCAAAACAGTAGCTGCAACGACCACTGGAAAGACAGCAATGAGGACAAGGGCAAGGCGCCACTGCAGGACAAAACCTGCAGTGCAGGCAACAAGCATGAGGGCTGTGTTCTGCACAATCACTGATATGCGGTCTCCGATCGCCGACCTGACATTGTTGGCATCAAGAGATAGCCTTGCTGCAATCCTTGCACTCTCATTTTCCTCCTGATCAAACCATGCCATTTCATTCTTTAGCACCGCTGCCAGCATTTTCTCCCTCACCCGTTTAGTGAGGTTCTCTCCAACAATATCCCAAAAGAAATGTTGCAGGGTGTTGAAGAGAAGCGCGGCCGATGAAAGACCAATCAGTAGATAGCAGTACTTTGCAATCTCCCTAATCATATAAGCATGGTCCGGGTTGTAGTAGACACTCATGACAGCACTTAGAACATAGGCGAAGAAGGCACTGAGGGAGCCGCAAACGACAGAGCCTATGGACCCAACTAAAGCATAAACCCATTCGGGGGAATTCATTTTAGCAAGACGCCAAAAGGAACTGGCTTGCTCCTTGAAAGCAAGCTTCTCAAGCCTATAATTTGGGTAAGATGCATCAAGAGAAAGACTGAAATCAGAGGTTGAGAAGTCTGATAGGCGACGAGAATATGGTGATCTTCCATATGATGAATTCCGTGCAATAATGGGGGAGCTCACGGAGTTTCTTGCACTGGAGGGCCTGCGACAATAAAATTTATGTTTGATCGTCTGAAAAGAAATCTTTAATTTCTCAAGAGACAACACTCTAAGAACAGAAGTTTTAAGGGAATGATTGGCAGACTAGTACAACTACTAGAAGTGAAATTTACCTTGCACTACTCTTTCTTGCATTATTAAGGGCGGTTTCATGAGCCATCTCCTGCATTCGGATAAGTTTGGCATAAACTCCGTTTTCTCCTTTGGCGAAGAGCTCATCATGGGTTCCGAGCTCAGTGACACTTCCTTGCTGAAGTACAGCCACAAGGTCAGCCTTGCAAATGGTGGAGAGGCGATGGGCAATCACAAGGGTCGTTCTTCCAATCATGAACCTATCAAGGGCTTCCTGCACAAGCTTCTCTGACTCCGAGTCCAATGCACTTGTAGCCTCATCTAGGAGTAATATTGCTGGGTTTTTCAGCATCGCTCTCGCTATGGCTACCCTCTGCTTCTGCCCTCCTGAGAGCTGTAGCCCTCTTTCCCCAACCTGTCATTTAAGAGATTACTACTCAGTTTTTGGTAATCTTGTCCCCTTATTTTCAGAACAGAATTCCTTTGAACAGGAAGTACAGAAACCACATTCGAGTGATAATAAGTCCATCTGGACCCATCCAGCTAAGATATGCGATATCAACTAAGACTCAGTCTTTATGTTGGAGTTTATGGCAACTCTCCTCTAAGTTATCATTTTATCTTTTCCTCTCAGAGGTGGCAGTATGGTTCGCGATACTAAAGTATTGAACTTGTAATCAGTCGTAGAATGCTTTGCTATTGCAATTCCATTGAGAAGTTAAAATTTAACATCATTCAGCCCGTTTGTATAGTCGAAACCCGTTTCGCATTTTACTTCACTTGACTCTGCACTGTGACCACTATTCTCTGCTTTATTGCTCCCTTTTCTAGTCCAAAAAAATTGTTTCATCTTCACTACCAATGTCATTCAATCTTTTGTCCCTGCTGGTAGGGCAAATTCTCCTTTTTTTTCCCCCTCTCAAAACGTAATAGTCCAGTGACCAAAAAAAAAAAAAAAACCGTAACTTTCCTAATAGAACCAATACACCTCGCTATGCACCAATTCATGTTAAGTTGTTCATCTTCGTATCGTGCCCTGCATGTGCTTATTTTTCCTGGTTTCCCATTGCGCTCTTCCTGGAATTCTCTCTTCTATTCTCATGGTTTTCCATCCTCAACAGTTTCTTTAGTACTTGGTTTCTGCCTAATCTATAAAGACGTCTTGTCGATATCTGCACATGCACTGTTGACTGAAGCATGTTATCTTCTTTATTATTGCATTACAAGACGGACCACTTCCCTCCATCGACATTTTAAAATGAAATGAAATCCTGGGTCCCGGATGTTGACCAAATGAACGGGTAAATTAAAAAAATTAAGCAATTATGAGTTCTCTTAAAAACGTCTACCAAAAAAAGTGGACCCTTCCTGGTCAAAATCCATGATTACGTGTTTGCTTTAGGAATGATCAACTTCACCCACTCCTCCACCTCCCTAAACTGACATAAAGACAGATTATCAAATGCCTATAATCACCAACATCATCAATATGACCCCCATAGTCTCTTCATTAAGAGGCAAATTAATTAAAGAAATCAATGATCTTATAGAGCTATTTGCACACAAAACTTTCAAACAGGAAACAGGAAAACAAAGGCTTCCCAACAATAATTCCATGTCTCAATTAATTCTATAGCCTAAAAAGAGAATGCAACAGAACCAATTAATAGACTGAATAATTTGCTAACCTGTGTATCGAAGCCATCTGGGAGCTTGACGATGAAGGAATGTGCATTGGCGACTCTGGCCGCCTCTTCGATCTCGACCTGGCTTGCGTTGGGCCGGCCTAACAAGATGTTCTCTTTGATGGTGGTCGCGAAAAGAGCTGGTTCTTGGCTTACTAGCCCTATTTGCTCCCTCAGCCATCTCAACTTCAGTGTCTTTATGTCATGCCCATCCAGCATGACTTGCCCTGAAACACGTTCATTCACCTTGATCAACACAAACAGCTTCTTCTTTTTTCGACACAGTGTAACACATTGACATTACCCTCTTCAACCATGCATAATCAACTCACCCCGAGAACAGAAACTATCTTCGATGGGATTAAAACATCAACCATCAAACATCTTCGGTGATGATTTAATTTTTTCACAAGAAATTGAATTTGTCAGTTAGGTTTTCGAGAAATTACCAGAAGTGGGATCGTAAAATCTCTCAATCAGCGAAACAACCGTGCTTTTACCAGACCCGCTGCTGCCAACCAAAGCAATCGTCTTCCCGGCAGGCACAGTGAGAGAGAAGTTGTTGAGTATCCGAACGTCTGGCCTCGACGGGTACGAGAAATCCACCTTCTTCAGCTCCACCAGTCCCGTCACCGAGTCAAGCTCCAAACCCGACTCACCATTCCTATCGATGCTTGGCTCGTGGTCGATTATTCGGAAAATCTTTGCAGCCGCAACCCTCGCCTTGGCGAACGCCCCCATGCTCGGCAACGATTGCCCCAATGCACTGCCCCCAATTAGCAAAGAATCAGCAAGAGACCATGAAAGAAATTTCTTCCTAGAAAACAGAGTCGGGAACACTTACAGGCCACCAATCATGACGGCGAACATGGTGGATATGGCAAGGCCGCCGTTGGTGAAGTGGTGGCGGACGAGGTAACCACCGTACCAGAGAAGGAGGGCGTAGCAGCAGAAGACGACGAAGTAGGTGGCGCCCAAACCCATTCCTTTGGCAAACCCGGTTCGATATCCGGTCCTCTGCGCTCTCCTCAGAGCAGTGGAATACGCTTGGAGTGCTCTCGACTCCCCCACGAAGCCCAAAACGACTCGTATTTGCACCACCGTCTGTTAACATACTCAGCCACCATCAAAATCAAAGAACGAAAAACCAAACAGAAGGGGGGAAAAGGAAGATCTCTACCTGTTCGACGATATTCCCAGCTTGCGAGAGAGCGTCTTGGGTCTTGGCGGAGAGCTTGGCCAGAGTGGTGGTGTGGATCCCGCCAATGACGGCGATTAGAGGGACCACGGCGAGGGTGACCAGAGCCAGCTGCCACACGGCCGTGAATCCCACCACAAAGCCGGAGACGAACGTCCCCATGTAATGTAGGAAATTCCCCAGCTGCAGCACAAGAAATCGAAACAAGAAGATGAGGAGATGAAATTGATGAGTAATAAGGGGATTGGAGAAGACGTTGCTGCTGTGGGCCTCAGACCTTCTCGCTAATGGCGTCCTGGACCATGACGGCGTCGGTGTTGATGGCATAGACGACGTCGGAGGTGCGAACCTCCGTGTCGAAGTACTCTATGTCTTGGTTCAGGGCAGCTTCCAGATACTTGATCCTCATCTTGGTCGATTGCCTCTCCCCGGTCCACATCCAGCATGATATCTCTGCAACCACAAATTACGTCATCTCTTCAGTTCAAGAATCACATTTCACGAGAACCCATGTAAGAGAAGAAACCATAACGGCGGAGAGAGAGAGAGAGAGAGAGAGGGTAAGACCTGCCCATGAAGAAGCCCATATCGCAGCACCCACCACCAGAAAGTAAAATGCGTACTGCCAAGTGTTTGCACAAGCACAACAAGATCAGTGACTGTGACGATTTGCAGATAAATGGGTGCGAAACTGAAAGTCCCGAGTTTCTTTTTTTTTTTTAATTTCTTTTCTGAGCGCATTACCTTCAAGACTTCCTGCATCATCTTATCCATGTCGTTGGCATTGGACCCGAAGGAATTGACGAGATCGGCGAAGAACCTCAAGAAGAGAGGCAGAGAACACCCATGTACGAGCGCCCCCAGAGACCCAATCCCCATCAGCACATAATCCAACCCATCCGCGAATCTGAACAGCTCGCCGAACCCAACCGCAGGAACATCTTTCGGCTTCTCTTCGCCGTCGCCACCCGCAACACTGCTGCTGCTGCCGCCATCCCTTTTGTGCTCAGCTGACGACGACGACGACGAAGAAGAAGAAACAACAGCACCGGCACCAGCAGCACCATCACCGGCACAAGCAGCAGCTGTATTGGCGGCATCCATTTCTCCTGCCTTTGTGGGCACGCTCTGTCGGGCCGAAGCTGCTGATTCGAGCGCCGAATTGGGGTCTGCCGCCGCTGGAGGGTGGGGGAGGGCAGAGCGAGGAGGAGAGGAGGAGGCGGAGAGGAGCTCAAGGCCTTGCATTTCTGACCAACGCCACTGCTCAATCGCGGCCTTTATCTCCTCCTGGGGAGAAGAATCTTGTGACATTTGCAAAGACCCAATGAGCCAAAAAAGAAAAAGAGAAAAAAAAATGGCCAAAAAAAAAAAAACCCGCTTCTTTTGTGAACAGACAGAGCAGAGCGCGCACGCACAGCACAGCACCCCGTCCTCCTCCTCCTCCTCCTTCCTCCTCTTCTTTTGATTATTTGACCGGGGCGACTCCCACGATCGACCTGGCTTTCTTTTTTATTTTAGATCAGGTGTGCTTGTTTGTTTCCGCTCTTTCCTTTCTCTGTCCCACTCTTTCTCTCCTTTTTTGCTTTCTGGGGTTTCTTCAAAATTCCTTCTTTTTTTTATTCCGAGGGTGGTGGTGCTGCTCTTGTTTGGCTGTGCAAGGAGGATGGAGGGATTGGTTTCGAGACGTGTTTTTTCACGGTCAGTGGGTGTGGGCTGTGCTCGGTCCTGTGCTTCTTCTGTAAAAAAAAAAAAGGAAAAAAAACACGGAAAGCGACGGGTGGTGGTGAGATGAGCACAGGAGCACAGAGAGAGAGAGAGAGAGACCCTCCGACAAGCAGCACTGTGTGTGGGAAAACTTGGAGATGGGCTTTTGACTGGGACAGACTCCTTTCTTTCTTTAACTGGCCACGAATTCAAAGTGGGAAAGAACAAAATAATAAATAGAGTCTCATAAAAAAATTTTAAATTATACCATGCGTTTGTCCTAAATTTTATTTATATAAAACTAAATGACAAATTTACCACGAGAACTATGACAAATCTGCCTACATAAATACCAAAAAACAAACAGCATTAACATATCACTCAGATATTATTTTGGCTGAAATATTATCTATCGAAGCATTGACAACAAGTTTAGAATTTATTATGTCACAAGAAAAAGTTTAGAGTGACATCAGTAAGTAGAGCACAGTTTGGAGTTTTTGATGTCGCAAAAAAATTTGTAATAAATTTGTCACGGTAGCATGATTTAGGGTTTTTTAAGGTTTTTTTTCCCAAAAAAAAACTGGCTTTTTTTCAGAAAAAAGAGGGGGGAAAAACTGATGATCTTTTTATTGGACAGAAGTTGATAATGATGGATCAGGTGGCTTGGTTGGGAAGTTAACAGCAGCGCAATAGCAAGTTAAAAGCTTGCTGATGAAAATTCTCGGCTGGCTGCTTTGCACATACAATGGATGGTCGTCGTCCTGTCCGTCTGTCTCCTTCAAATCCGGCGATCTTCACTCACCCTGTTGCTCTGCACTGCAGAGGAAAACCAAAATAAGAAAAAAAAAAAAAGCTTTCTTCTTTATTGACTTTTTGGGGATTGGCAGGTGGAGCAGTTTATTGCCGGTTTGTTTCTAGTTTTATCAGCACCGTGTTGGTATTTTCCCCTTTGCCAATCGAAATATAAAGAAAAAAAAAATCAATGCGTTCTTCAAGTATCATGAATGAACTATATGATTCCAAGTGAGTTTGACTGTTGAGAAAATAATTATATCTCGTCCGATGCATGATATGGATTTGGCATTAAAATCAGTCCGATGATACTGCCCCTGTAACAAAACCGGATAATTTGTCTACGGAACGGCAATTTCGTGTTGCGTCTTTCGAATTTTATTTCTGTCGAAAGAAAGCGTGCATAAGTCAATCGAACAAAATTCGTACTTGTCATCGATAATCTCGGTAACTCAAGTTAGCAATAAATCGTTCCATTTTTCATTGTTTAAAGTATGTTTTAACTATCATTATTAAAACCCCTTATTAGTGCGCTAGGGTGCAAAAGGAATTGTGATCAACCATACCATTGCATTTTTTTTCTTTTGCAATATACATGGATGATTATAAATACCAATGGAGTACTACTTAGTCTAAAATACCCTAGAGGATCGTAAAAATGAACTAATCTATAGTAACATTCGTCATCAAACATCATTAGTGATTGGACTTACGTTAGGTAAGATATCACAAATATTACAAGATAAGTATGATGTGACATTTTTATTATAAGTGTTAGAATATCCAGCGTAAAAGTTTAGACTAATCAATGGATACGATGCAGTCTTCAACAAAATGAGAAAATGTACAAGTAAAACATTTTTAACGAAACATTGTTTAATTGACTCTATCCCGGTAGGCTTTTTTCAAGTACCATTCATCTTTTGATAAAATATGCGGCTAACCCAATTTGACGTTAGTTAAAGAAAAACTCGAAACCTTTGAAAATATGCAAATAACTGTTGCGATATAATATACACACGCAACAATATTCGCTTGTTTTCACTTTAGCTTTTGGAGGTCCGAGGTGTCTCTCACGAGGTGTTGCCCATCTCGATCGACACACAACTAAAGTCACCTTACTATTTGATGAGATGTCCCAACAATACTAAGGTAAAGCAGGGTTAAGTGCCATTTGCGAAAGTTTGATGTAAAAAGTACTCAAGTCTTTCTATCCATGGTAAAAGAAAATGCATAGGATGTAAAAAGTGTCAATTGCTTTTTAATTAACTGATATTTTACTCGAGCATGTTTCAAAAGCAATTTTTAAATGTTCTCTTTCACTATTGGGAATATAATAAGCTCCTGGTGTGAACTTTGGAGCTGCTTCTTTTCTTCTTTAGCTTCTATCATTTGGAACCTTGGGTTCGGCAGGATTCATTGATGGGAGCGTCGGGACCTTGAGGCCCTTGACCTTCTACATTTTCTCGATATACAAGTATCGGTTCGTTTTACGTTCCCATTACGAGTTTTTCACCGTTGAATTGAAAAATAAAAAATAAAAAATATCCGGACCAAGATCTATTGAATAGTTGAGATTTGTTGCATTTCAATATAATGGTAAAAGATTATGAAGGCATGGTGCCTCGTGGGAACCATGAAAATACCGTTCTTTAGAAAGTACTTTAGTATTATCTCTTAAAAAATAAAAAAAACAATAGTTAAATGATATATGTTCTAACTATATTTTTTGACGAAGTTGATGTTTGATGAAAATTAGATTTCAAAAGTAAAATAAAAGGTAAAAATCATTCCAAGCACCGGCTTAAGGAAAATTTGTATTAACTTCTAACTTTAAAAAGAAAATTGAAGTAACCATATTGATCTTCGATAAGTGATAACGCTAAGCGGGAAATTATTCGAACTCACATTGATAGCTTGAAGCTTAAAGAATAATGTTTCGTTTTATGTCGATGTTTTCGTTATTTCGAATTTACTCTTGGTAATTTGACGTTACCTTTCCGTCGAGAATAAAATATAATTTTATTTAAAAACACGACACAGACTATTATGAGAAATGACTCGTATACTAAGGCTTGCTCATAACGATACGTCGCACGTTATCATGATTTTTGTGAAATGTGTGATCAACCTTTGGAAAACCGAAATTGTTGTGATAAAGTAAGCTTAACGAGCACACAACAAACTCATCAACAAGTGCCACTTCTATTAAAGAGTATTTTTAGGACACTTATTAAGTATTCAAATAAGAAAAAATTGCAACTTTCAATGTACTAGCTTTGTTTTATCGATACGTGTAATTAATGTTTTGAAAAATCGAATAATTTGACTCAATAAACGTGTATCTAAATAAGGGTTTTGGTCAAAATAACTTTTCTTATTCAGTTACTCAACAAATGCCTAAGGACAATCTTAAACAAAAAACATTTTGCAAACAAGATCTAATTACAAAAAAGATTAAAGCTTCCGACACGGATCAACAAGCATGCACAATCAAGAACAGCACAAATTTTTTTTCAATGCAATTATTGTAAAGGACGCGAGCCATAAATTCTCCTGTCAATTATTTTCTCGACGAATGCTCTCCCCCGAAAAAAAAAAAAAGTTTATGCGTGCACATCTTGAAGAGAGCCTTCAAAGTCAGAAACTGCGACAGTCTTGAAGTTTCCACCTGTCGTTCGCAGTGAACATTTCCCATTTTCCATCAGAGCCGACGCATTCATTGCGAGCGTTGACCGACGGCACTGCGCTGTGTGGGACTCCCTCCCTGCCGAAGGAGCGGGAGGCGTGCAGGACAAGGAGAAGGGGCGTGAACAGTGGCTTCGAAAATGAGGTGTCAGAAACCGCCGTGGGACAACCTGTGCCCGTTGAATAACTGCTGTAGCTCTGCTATTAACCTGTTCGACTTTCCAACCTTAATTTCCACAAAATTTTGCCCATTTGTCCCCCCACCCGAGAGAAAAGAATGCACGGAAAGAAAAAGGAGGGAGAAAAGCTAACAGTTAAAGATCGAGATCTGTTCGAAGTTTTAAGAGATTTTAAGAATCCCACCGTGCGCCACAAGTGTCGCGGGCACATTAAATTCCTATTTCTTTGCTTTCGGGCACTTAGGTGAAATTCTATTCAAATAGCTGCACACATGTGCGACCACGCTCCGAAACTATTTCGATAGGAGAGAAGCGAGTCGCGGGCTCGAGGATTGGAGAGTGATCTGTATTCGGACCACAACTAGAGTCATTCTACAAATAGCTCAACTGCTGTCTGGTATGAGGATAGCTTAGGTTTCTTGTAATTATGGGTTAATGGATCAGCACATGTGAGCAAAATGAGACATGCCTCTTCAATTCACCCATTTCTTTGGATCAGCACATGTGAGCAAAATGAGACGTGCCTCTTCAATTCACACATTTCTTTAGTTCATGCATCTATTGAGTTCATGAATATCTTAATTTCGTGTATCTCTTGAGTTCATGAATCTCTTCAATTCACGAAACTCTTGAGTTCATGTGTTTTTTCAATTCATGTCCATGCAATAGAATCCAACTATTCTTCATTTCAGATAAGATAGAATATACGGAGCATAAAGAATGGAGTGGAAGTTCTCTTCAATTTTTTCTTTAAGTGTGTCGGTTTCAAGAATTGTTCGGCAAAGTCTTATTTGGACAATGCTAATACAAATGGGTTCGAGATGTTGTATCTTGAGAGGCATAATTCGTGAAGTTGCTTAGCACCGTTTGTAGGAACTAATTTCCTTGAGGAAATTCGGTTAGCCGTACCTGACCTCCAGTCTAATTTTATCACAACTCGTTCGGTTTTTCCCACGTAAAGAAGGATAATTAG